CATATGGACTTTACTGTTATTATGTGGTTTCATTGTATCCATACTACACAGTGCACAACTGCACATGCCCAGGCTTCCTCCTCCCCCTTTTGCCTGTACCCTATTGTGATTTGCTCCCCTGCTTGTCTGTCTGATAGCCCACCCTTTGTTCTACCCCTTCCCCTGGCGGGAGGTTTTAAGAATCAGACAGACGCCTGAATAAAGAAGTCTGCTTGCACCAGTCCTCGTGTCCTGTCTCCTCTCCCTATCGGACCTGCGACAACATGGCGCCCACCGTCGGACAGACCCCACGCCACAAAGGGCTCAGACAGCGCTGAGAGAAGCGTTTCGTCTCGCAGGTCCCTCCCGGTGAACTCCAGTTTGCGGCATACGGCCCTCGCACCGAAAAAGGTGAGCACCGGGGAAGCTCCTGATCCCTCACCCATCTCCCACCAACTTTAAAACCAACTGCAGACTAACAGAAGCCTAAGTAATTTTGCAATGGGCCTCTGGTTATCAACCCCTCAAAAATTTGTATACAACAAGCTAAAAGACTTTATTATTGAACATGGACACCCCTTAGATGAAAAGTCTGCGAAATCGCTTGCAAAATGGCTAGAAAACCGCAGCGAAGTGGTCTCGGACGATTTAAAAATACAGGACTGGGAAAAAATTGGACATCAGATATGGAAACAAAAGGATAGAGGAGACAAAAACGCAGCCGAAGCATTAATTGCTTGGAGATTGATTTTGATGGTGCTGCAACACCAGATAACCAGTTCCAATGAAAATCTCCAAGAATCGGAGTAAAAATCCAAGTCTAAATTCCCTGAGAGCGGCAAGCCCCGAGGGTCCCGGAGCGGCGGGGGGGCGGGGGAGAGCGCGGACAGCGGGAGGGAGAAACAAAGCCCGGAATACCAGCGGTTCTTGTATCATGGCGTCGGCGAGCTAAGCGACCGCGCGGGCGAAGCCAGGGAGTGAACGCGGGAGCACGCGCGGCGTGGAGAAACGGCATGCAAGGATTTCGCGCCTTTCCCGCCGGCACCGCCTCCCAGCCCGCCCGTGGAAGCTCGGCCAGCACCGCGTCCCCACCGCCCCCTGAGCCTGCCGCCATCGGCGCCGGCCCCCCAATACTCTCCCCCCCAACAACATGGCGCCGACCACGTGGCAGCCCCCCTCGCCGCCCCCCCACCCCCCCCCTCCGTTTCCCCCCTCCCTTCCCCCATCTCCCCCCCTGCCACCCCTACTCCCCTCTATCCCCCCACCCACAACGCATCCAGGTACTCCTTTCCCCGGTCCCCACGGCAACTCCGCTTATCCAGCCGCACCAGTAGCTGGCGATTTAACCCTTTCAGTCCGATGTGCTAATTCCTCTGCTCCGGTACATGCTGTTTGTCCCCCACATATTCCCAACTCCCCATCCCTATATACTGACCAGCATGCTTCTGATTATGGCCCTGGCTTCTCCAGTGCCAGTGCCCAGAGGAGCAGGTGGTCATACATGAAGGAACAAGCGTCAACAGCTGATGATTTGAATTTGGTTAAAGCATTCCCCGTGTTTTATCATCCCGACAATCACCCTGTCTGGGAACCAATCCCCCTCCCAGTTCTGAAAGATACAAAACAAGCTATTACTGACTACGGGTTAAATTCACCTTATGTCATAGGGGTACTTAGTTCACTTTTTGCTGCTTACACGTTCACTCCAAACGACATAAAAGATTTAATGAGTGCTTTCTTCACTAATATGCAAACAACACTTTTCCTAGATGAATGGCAAACTCGTATTCACCAGCATGCCCAGCAAACCTCAGCAATCACAGGGACCCCAGTCCTAGAGACCTTTAATAGACTGTTCGGAGTGGGTCCATATATTTCCAATGAGGCCCAAACCAAGATTCCTATGAATGAATTGGACATTTCAAAAAATCTAGCCTTCCAAGTTATTCAAACCATTGCTGAGGCTGCTGAACCTATACCTTCATACACACAAGTACAACAAAAACCAGCAGAACCATTCATAGACTTTGCAGAAAGGCTGAAAAAAGCTATTGCAAAACAAGTTAAACACCCAGAAGCTCAGGATGCACTATTTTTAAGGTTGGCTATAGAGCAATCTAATGATGATTGCCAGCAAATACTAAGAACCCTTATAGACCCCACCCCTATGGAAATGGTGAAGGCATGTCGTAATGTGGGGTCTAATTCTCATAAAGCAAGACTAATAGCTGAAGCTTTGGCTGGACCACAAACCTGTTTTCACTGTGGTGAGACAGGACATATAAAAAAGAACTGTCCACAATTAATTACAAAGATGGAGCTTCCAAAGACGCCGTGCAAACGGTGCGGAAAAGGCAGACACTGGACAAAAGCTTGCAGGTCTCTTACTAACATCTATGGAGAACTGCTGCCTCCTAAAAAGTCACCAGACTTAAAGAGAAAAGTGACTTTTAATTCAATGCCAGATCTTAAACAGTGCACCTGTGAGCTGTCAAGAAACAAGGCAACACCCCCTCAACTGCGTTCCACCCTGTGTAGCCCATCCCTTCAGCAAGTGCCAGGAAACCACAGCAATCCCTGCAATTCCCTTATTATGTGATCCCAATCCTAAATTCTCCCTTCTAACATGTTCTGCTTACTTTCCAGGATCTCTTAGTCCACAGAAGACCACTATCACTAAGCTTTTAGACACCATGGAGCAGTGGCATCTCGGGCTGGAAACAATTTTTAGGGGGGGAGTCACTCAGCAAATGCAACTGTCCACTTGTTTTTGAAATTTTGCTTTCTCTGTTTGTTTTGTTATTAACTATTTCTTGTATCACAGCATGCTGCAAGAAGGACTATCACAACAGACATTTTTCAAACTAATAAGAAAGGGTGAGATGTAGAGAAGCAAGATTCAGGATGGGAACAGTTCCAGGCATGGAGAAAAGCATACAGCAATCGACAGGACTTTCATATGGACTTTACTGTTATTATGTGGTTTCATTGTATCCATACTACACAGTGCACAACTGCACATGCCCAGGCTTCCTCCTCCCCCTTTTGCCTGTACCCTATTGTGATTTGCTCCCCTGCTTGTCTGTCTGATAGCCCACCCTTTGTTCTGCCCCTTCCCCTGGCGGGAGGTTTTAAGAATCAGACAGACGCCTGAATAAAGAAGTCTGCTTGCACCAGTCCTCGTGTCCTGTTTCCTCTCCCTATCGGACCTGCAACAACACCATCATACATGGGCTCCTATTCCTACTGAAGGCAGGAATGTATTAACACAGCACAAACACTGCATACCTGAAAAAGGCTTAGCTTTTGGATCTGAATTCTATATGTGAATCTGCAGTGAGAAGTTATTAAGAGAAATAGTCTCTCCTAAATGAGAAGTTAATTTAAATCCCCTCTTGCACTGAATACACAAAGAAAACTCAATGTACTGTCCAAGTTTTAAGGTACATTTCAGCAGCAAGTAGAACAAACTCTGAAAATTTAAGCAAACAATATACTATTTAAAAATACACCTGCAAAATATTTCACTTTTTTTTTTTTTATAAAGAAAGTAAGTTCCCAAGAATCAGTGTGAGATAAAAGAGAAAGATAGACAGGGGACATGACAGGTTGTTAGGAATAGAAGCAGGGTCAACAACATTTTCTGTTGTGGGGTGTGTTAGTCTGTTGAGTTGCCATCCAGGGAAACTGTAATAACTCAGGCCTGGTGTCAAGGTAGGCTGGGCTAACACTAAATGGTGATGATGCTTTGATGGGGACACTCTTCTACCCCCACTAGGTCCCTCAGTTGCAGTCTCAGTAGGAGGAGAAAAAGGATAAATCTCCTTGCCCAGCACAAAGCACAGTCTTAGAGTCCATGCAGCAACCAGGTGCAGATAGAGGGAAAATCTCTGCCCTTCCTCTGCCCCAACAGGTCTCATCAAGAAGCTCTATAACCATCTTAGTGTGTGTTGTCAGTAAGATGCTGTGAGTCAGGGTATGTTAGTGTCACGTGAAGGGGGGGGGGGGATTTACCTGACCCTTAGAGAGGGGAGATTTTCTTGACCCACAGAGATTTATTTGTTTGTTAGTTCTCCAAGGAAAATAAAACCATGTCTGTCCGACCCAGTCTGTCAGGTATCCCTTCTCCCAAAGGTAACTCTTCACTGGACAGATTCACAAGATTGGGATTATTCGGTTGCCCTTTTTTGGAGACTGCCGTGCAACAGCGCAAGGGAGACCCCTCAGCAGGTCTTCCCACGTGTCAGCACCTTATTAAGGACTCACTCTAACAGTTTATGGAATGACACTCTTTATTAATACAAATCATGACAAGTTAATAAGATTTGTGGTAGTTGGTGATAGTGTCTAACTGCAAAAACATACTTAAAGCAATCTAATAAGACTATAAAGTAAGCACAAGCACAAACTCTAAAACAAAACAATATTCTATTCTGGAGTAAAAGCAAGCTCTAGTCCTTAAAAGCAGTATTCAGTGTGCATAGCATAAGTTTCTCACCCAACAGGCGTCCCTGGACGGGGGGGGGGCAAGACAGGTTCGGCCTGTCAGCTGATCCCAGCAGTTTCAGTGGAAACCTTCCTCCAATTTCTCTGCATTTCCAACTTCCCTTTATACTATCTCTTTAGGTTTAAGTGGAGTTTGAGTGACTCTAGTCATTAATACTTAATTGGGTAGTTTTCCTTGGCATCTATCTTCCTTGGTGGACAGATACGGCACAGACAAAGTGTCACCATGTTCCCCTTCCTGCAAGATGTTTGTGGAGGGAGACTACAGTGTATTCACATTACTCCCCTCTCCATTGCATCCTCTGTAACAGGTGTTTAGGGAACCTTTGTGGGGCATTGTGACCATGTTCCATCCGGGAGGCAGCAACTGGTTGTCCTCTGTAATTCTTATTCTCCTTTAACTTTTAACCCTATCCATTACTCCACAGTTAGCTTTAGCCCTTGGTGACCTTGGAGGCAATGGGACACAACTCATCCAGCCTTTGAAGTGTCCTTTATTGAGAGATGGAGAGCTCATGTCCTTTGCTATTAATTCTGCTTTTCCCCTTTATATTCCATATGCAGAGAAGCAGAGGGAGCTGGCTCAGAAGGGATCCCTGAAGAACGGCAACATGGGAAGCCCAGTTAATCAGCAGCCCAAGAAGAACAACGTGATGGCACGAACAAGGTAAAGGACTGGAAAAGCACTCATCTGTGCTCTAAGCTGCAATCCCTAATGACCTTAGGATGGGCAAGGATGATGTTCATTGCTATTTGCCTACTGCCAAACACACTATGAGAGCAGTGTCTGCCCTTACCAGAGCTGGCAGGCCCAAATGCTCTGTACTGTGTTGCATCCCATCCCCTGGGGACATGCAGGGACATCTGGGATCAGGACTGGTGACAGTGCAGCCTGAAGGCAGGTAGAGGTAGTCCAGCTTGGTTGAAATTAGGGGTTTGATATGGCTGTCTTGCATGTTCTGGGTAGCCTCACATAACACCTAATCCTGACAGCAGGAGAGAGTATGATACTGCTTCATGTAATGCAAACTGGTTTAGAGCTTAGTTCTGCTTTGGTTGCTTTTATTACAGTATTTCCCCTGTTCCTTTTTGATGATGACCCCTTCTTCATACTGATTGATTTAACAAAGGCTTGTGACAATCCATCTCAGTATGCTTTGCTATATACCTCCTCCTCACTTGGAACAGCATGGTCATACTTTACTGGAGCTGCTTTGGCACATCTCTGTATGACAGTATCAGACAGTGCCACAAACCACTGTAAAAAAGGATGTTATTGGCTAAATACTTACAGTGTTTCTACTGTTTCCATGCAAGTTTCAGTACACCATCTACCTGCAATCAGGAGGGAGGACGCCCCCTGAGTCCACTGGATTACATGCTTTGCATGCTACTAGAAAGGTGGCAGTTTTTAATGGAGGACCTCATTTAGAATAACAGCAGAATCTGCATGATTTCTGGGTGTTTACTGATGAATGATAAAGTTCCCTGAATAACCGTATATTAAGTAGAACAGGAACTGCAGGTCAGAGCCTCTCTGTTAATTCATTAATTCCCAAACCCCACAATAGTAATCATAAATCATGCCAGGTCTTTGTAAAGTTTTATTTGTAAGCCCCTGTGATGTTGTTGGAACACGCTGCACTGTTCACTGCTCTGTTTGGTTGTTGAGACCATATAAAGAAGCCAGACCCTTAGTGGCATCAAGAAATTGAGCAGATGCTCTCAGTTGGTTTTTCCATGCTTCTCTTTGTCTTCTGAATACAAGTTGGAAAAAATTGGTGTCTCAGTTTAACAGGACAAACATGTTTACTAAGGAGGGCAAGTTATAAGGAAGACCAAGTTCCTCCCTCTGAGCAATTGCAAATCCAAAATTAAGGGGTTCCAGTCGAGGAAATGTGGAGAGAGGAAAAAAATAACAACCCTATATTAAAGAATATGTATGTATAGGTAACACAACAAAAGAACAAAAAAACCAAACAACAATCCTGCACCCAAATTCCCACCAAAACCAGTTAAGTACTTTTCCTCTTTCAGTGCAATTCTAACCACGACCAGCAGGGGGCGCTGCTAGATATTTGGAGGGGCAGAAGCTGCAGTTGCTCTCCGATGGTCGGCAGGGGGCGCTGTTGGGCTCTGGCAGCCACTGCCGGTGGCCCCAGTGCGTGGGAGGCACCCGGATGGGACCCACCCCCCCCCCAACCAAAGGGGAAAGGAGAAGGGGAGAAGGTAGTCTTCCTGTTGACTCACGCTGTCACTGGCTGTGACTGGAAACTCCTTTTCCTCGTCAATGGACACAAGCTCCTTGCTGTCGAAGGCTGGCTCTGGTTGGGATCCCCGTTTTCGTCGATGGGTGCAAACTGCTGCCAACACGGGGAAGGAGGAGGGGAGGGGCGGCCTTTCCCCTCAAAGGTTCCTCCGCAGATGGCACCGGCTTTCCAATGAATCCGAGGCAAGCCCAGCCAGTGGGCAGAGCAGGACATGAGGAATCAGAGGCGAACTGAGACCTCCCTCGAGGCCAGAAGAAGCCAGTCCCCCTGCCAAAAACATGAACCCAGAAACACCCCTCTCCACACCACTCCCTTCCCTGAGTCTGGGCAAAAGTCAAAAGTGCCGTCTCCCGAGGAAAAAAGCTCACCTCCCCCCCACAGTCTTCTGAGGCCAATTAGCTTGGATGCGGGGCCATTAGCCAGTCCTTTTGAGTGTGTGTTCACTCTAGCCATCCTTCCCCCTCCCTCGCTCAACAGCTTTCTTTCAAAGTGGTAAAGGGAAAAAAATTCCAAACAGGGTTTTTTTTTCTTTTTTACAAACAAGAAAACCTATGACAATTGGTTTCTTTTGGCAATAGGCTGAATGTTAGTTTCCCAAGAGGAATGGTAGAAGATTTCCTGCTTGAGAATTTTAGAAACACTGAAATTAGTGGAGGAAGATGGTAAGAAAGAGAAGTACAGGTGCCTATTGTAAAATTAATGACTTCTGCTTGGAAAGGCTGCTGTTTCTGAGATGCTGATGAAAAGAAGAGTGATTTGGGCAGGGAAGGACTGAGCAGTGGCACCGTCAACAAAAGCTTTTGAACAGCCAGTTCAGTCCATTTGTGTACACTTGAGCACTGTTCAGAGGACATGTGGATGCCTCCACAGCCAAGTGGACCCTGCTGGCAGTAGACTTGCTTTTCTTAGTTATTTTTCACACAGCTTTTAGAATCGTCCCTTGGGATCTGCAAAACAGGTTTGCAGCCATTGCTTTAATAGAAGATGTAGCCATTGTTCCCATATAGCTGGGAGGTATCTGGCACAGGGTCTCACTGGCCCATGTCTCTTCATCTCCCAGCTCCCTTGGCTTTCTGAGAGCCAAGCAGCACCACAAGCACAGCCCTAGTAATACCTCAGAATGGTTTTGTCTGTCTTGCCATAAACAGGGCAACCCCAAGAAGGCAGAAATGCCACAAGCTTGTTCAAGCAACTTCTCTTTACAAGATAATGGCTGCAGTACAATGGGAGATATTCCAGTGGGATACACTGCAAAACATTCAGGTTATGGTAGTTCTTAAAAGTCTAAACTGTTGGCTTCCTCTGGTCTCTGCAAGAGGAGAATAAGCTAAAGCCATTTCCACTTTTATAACAGTTCTGCTTTTCTCCTCATCAAATGTTTTCCTTCATTCAGCCAAACTGCATTGCCTCTCCTAGTCTCTATTTCACCTTCTCCTCCTTTCCCAAGGCTTCTGTTCTTCTATATTATCTATATGAATTTCTGACATCCAGCCTCTAGTACCAGGTTGCTTTCACTATTTAATCTCCTCCTGGGGCAGGGGCACAGCCTTAGAGGTAAAAGGTTCTGTATTCATAAAACACTCAGTCTCCCTAAGAGCAAATAATGTGAACAAGGTTGGAGTGATACTGGCACACTCACTCTTGTAGGAAAAATCCTTGCTTCCAATTTAAGAAAACGGCAAAAATACCTGCAGGACAAGGAAAAATGCAGCAAGAAGTTCTTTATTGCAGCACTGGGTGCAATCCTGTCACATGGACCTAGAAAGCACCCCGCTGCTCTTGGTTACATAAGCTGTTACATATTCAGTGAGTGTCAGCTATTTTACCTTAAAAGGTAATTTCTTGGACTCAGGAGGGGGTGTTATCCTCCCTCTTGATTGATTCATGAGGTACCCCCCTGTACATTGTACAGAGGGGTCTCTCCGCACACAAAGGCCAATCATGCGGCAGAGGGTATATTTTTATTTTTATACTTTTCCCTATTCCCGGCCGCAAAGGTTCCCTGGCGTCAGGCCCAGACAGGACCTTCCACCTTACAACTTTCACAATATGCCTAGAAAACCCTTGGAATTAAATGAAAAAAAGAAAATCCCACCCCCTTCTGTTTTCCACTAAATTAATTTGCTTATAATAAAACCAGATTATTTATTTCTCATACTCTGAGCACAGGCAGAGCCCACAACACCATCTGCACCACTTCTGCACAGACAGATGTTGTAGCCTGCTCTGAGGATAACCTAAACTCAGATTTTGTCATAACATATTTCATGTTAATTGATCAAAACCACTAAGACAAGAAGCTCATACTAGGACACCTGCAGAAGAAAGCAGCTCTGACTGCAATCTAGTTTTGTTCCAAGGTGTCCTAGTTAGAACAACTGGGACCAGTTCGTCACCGTATGGGTGTAACCCAAAACTGTGTATTCTATAGCCTTCCATGCCATTTCCCAGAAACTGTTATCAATAGACTATTTACACCCTCTGCCCAGAGCAGCCTGACTCCTCAGGCTATAAACTAGGTGTTAAGAGGCCTGCGAGGTAGGAGGGTGCCCCCCTGTTCTCACACCCATTGTGGAACTCCCCGCCCTGAGGGAAGTACTGAGCATTCCTGCCTGAACTGGAGAATATATAATCTTGGAGTCTTGGAACTTTTTTAACCACTCGTGGGATCCAGAGGAAGACTGCAGACCACCACTCTCAACCAGACTGCAGACCACCACTCTCGACTGGACTGCAACCACCACTTTTCAACTGGACTGCAACCACCACCCTCGACCGGACTGCAATCACCACTCTTGACCAGACTGCAACAGCACTCTCACCAACAGGTTTTCCCCTCTTCTTTTACTTTGGACTCAGGGGGCCCAATGAACACCACTCTGTTCATGCCCCAGGGTGCTGGGTTATACATTTGGGTTTTGTGGGTTAAAACCAATTGTTTGTCTGTATAATTGTATTTATTGTATTATTTTATTAAATTGTTATTCTGATTTATAATCTCTCTTTTGAGTTGGGTTCATTTCCCCTGCCGGTTTACCTTTAAACCAGCACACGAGGACAGTGGGAAGCAAACATAAGGACAATCAGAATGCAAGGGAAAGGTTTAGATCAGGGCAAAGACATTATCACAGTTTTTGTGTGTTGCAGAAAAATTTAAGTTCTGTGTTATTAAGAAAAAAGACATTTCTCAAGAAAAAGATGTAGTGATTTTTTTAATCGGTTAAATAGCACCACAAAGTGCTCTTCTCCTAGATCCCCTGGTAGTGTTTTGTTTACTCATGGTCAGTTTTGTGGATGGAAGAACTCTGTTGTGAAGTGGATACCACTGAATTAATGTATTTTCCTTATTGTAAAAGCTCTGAAGCCTGTATTCCAACACACAAACTCTCTGAGGCAATTAAAGGTGCAAAGTCATCATCAGCCTTTGTAATACTTCTGATGAAGTGAAAGTCTATAAAATAATAGAATTTTAAAAGTTCTAGTCTGACTGGACTCTTATGCTGCACCCATCAGTTCATATTCCTTATATTTCTAAATTTAGGAGTGAGAACTCAGAAGTGCTGTGTTGTGGGGGCTGTATAGGAGCTCATGCAGAAAGACCAAATCCCTGATTTCCAATAGAAGAATAGTAGGAGCACCCAGCCACTGCCTTCCCCTAGCCTCCTTCTCCCATTTATTTGTTGCTAGTATCATGTACTCATTGCTAGAGGAAAAAAAAGAAATACAAAAATGAAAAGTCTGATATAACAAGCAGTGTTAGTGATCAGGTTCACCAGAATGAAGTGTGGAGTGCCCCAATTGTTTTTCCTTTCAGGGAGGAGTGTGTTCTCAGTGCGTGTCCAGTGTTCATCCTTGTGAAACTGCTCTGAACTACCCAGAGACACAGCCCACTTACTCTGAATTGCACCCATTTAAATGTCTTCACCGATAAGGGAAGACTTATAAGGAAGTGAAACAGGGAAAACCAACTATCATATGGCTTTGCTCTAGACTATGTGTGGTACTGAGCTTTACTGTGTGGTTAATGGACAGCATTTAATTATTTCAGGTTCGTCGTTCCCAATAAGGGCTATTCGTCATTAGATCAGAGTCCAGATGAAAAGCCACTGGTAGCCCTGGATACGGACAGGTATGCAAAGGGTTAATAAGATTTTATATATATATACATATACATATATTATGGTGTAAGCAAATTTTCATGCCATAGTGCAGCACTGAAGCTAATTCCTGCTGAAACTGCTCTTGCAGGCCACTCGCACTCTTCCTTGCTGTGCCCTTCAGCATATGTCGTAACAAGTCTGTGTGTGTAAACAAGTAGAAAAGAGATGTGAGTAAAGACCACTTTAATGGAAAGGTCTCAGGGTCACAGATGAAAGTTGTTCTCCAGACTCCCTTGATGTAATTTCTCTGTGGATGAAGTACAGTTTCACGGCACAAGAAAGATAGGGCTAACCAGGGAATACAGGTCTCTCTAACTGTTGTTTCCTTTGTTGCTGTATATTGTCATTCCCTGCAGTGATGATGACTTTGACGTGTCCAGATATTCCTCCTCAGGATACTCATCGGCTGAGGTGAGTTATACTCTTTCCTTCCATCCTTGCCATAAATGCTAATAGTCGAGCAGCCAGAAACAACTCAGTGTCCTTGTGCTGCCAGAAACAGCTCCACAAGGAATTTACCAGTGGTGTAGCCTTTGTGAGCCTGGAAGGGACCATGGCAGAAACTGTGTCATGTTTCTGTCTTTCCTGGTGATCCAGTTGGCTCCGTCACCATACTTCTGTGGCACAGACACAGATCTGCCCATCGGCTGTTTTCACAAATACCTTTGACTTTCACTCAAGCTTTTCCCAGTTCTGCTCAGTCATGCAGTGTTGGCTCATGTGGTGCAAATGCATCAACTTGTCTGTCACACCAGTTCAGCAACTGTATGCTTGCCAAGGACACAAATAAAGGATCTGAGGGTGTGCTGTGATTTCCAGTTCTTGGGGGGGGGTCAGGGTCACCCAGTGCATGTTTACTTGAAGCACCAGAAATTCTAGGGAGGACTTGCAGATATGAACTCTTGCCCTTTCAAAGAGAAAAGGCAGGGAAGCTCAGGCTTGTTAATCTCTTTGCATTCTTTCTGATTATATTCCCAAGATCTCTTGTGAATTAGTTGTTCGGACTCCAGCTACTGCTTCTGCAGGATCTGATTTTGCATCCAGGATGCTGAACAGCCATTATGCACACAAGCTACTGGGAACTCTTCCCCTTTGTATCCCTTCCTTGGGCAAAATACTTCTGAAACACTGAGAAACAGCCAAGAGCAGGAACCAGATCAGATGATCTGGGCCATCTCTGGGCCCTGATGAAGTGTTGTTCATCCAGATCTGGGTAGACAGCACTTGAATTTGAGATTATAAAAAACCAAGAAGCTTTACCACCTTTCAACTGCTATAGTGCCCCAGCCTGAAAGGAGGGACTGGCCACCTGCCAGTCGGTTTATTATCATTATTATTACATTACTTTAAATGAGGACTCATCTTCATGGAAAGATTATTCGAGAATAAAATACTGTATCGAGTTGCTACTCTGGAATATCTCACTCTAGATATTCCTATTGTAAAAGAAGTTTAAACAATAGAAAGCAGCCCTCACCTGTGGTCACAAACTGGGACTCTTTCATTGATGAGACAGCTGCTAATGATAGGAAAATATATTCCAGAATAAGGGACTTCTTTCCTCTTTCAACTATCAGAAGAAAGAAGTCTCAAGTGTTTGACTGTTTGTCTCTTTGTCTGTAGCAGATCAACCAAGACTTGAATATCCAGCTGCTAAAGGATGGGTACCGGTTAGATGAGATCCCAGATGACGAGGACCTCGACCTAATTCCCCCTAAATCGGTCAACCCTACTTGCATGTGTTGCCAAGCCACATCCACCACCTGTCACATCCAGTAGTGAGGCTGGCAGGCTCTGATTGGTGCTTTCCACTATAACTGTAAAACTTATCAGCCATTGCTTCCTCCTATGGTAGGACATGCATCTCTTTGTGTTCATGGAGCCAGGAGAAACCAAAAAATTAATTTTATGATTGGTTAATAAGTTATTTTAAACTATGGTTAAAAAAAAGAGAAGTTGCTCAAAGTGCCAGGCAGTGCCTGGCAGAACTGATTTGTCTGGAGAGCAAACACAGGAGGGTCCAGAGATGCCTCCTTGGTTTGTGTAGGCACTCAAGATGTTTTGTAAGGTGTCTGTTCCAGAATGGGAAGGGTCAGATGGAGCTGTAGTTACTCCTCCCCACTGAAACCAATCCATCTACAAGATCAGGGGTGAGTCTGAGGTGTCAGGGGGTTTTACCTGTAGCAGAAGGTCAGTTCTTAATTGATTCACTAAACCTGATTAATTTGCGTAACCATAATTATACCATAGCTGGGACACAGGAATAGAAACAGAGCAGGGCATCCTTTCTTATGCTAAAGCTAGCCAGGACTAGAATGACACAATTCATTCACTTGTGAAGAGGACAAATAGGCGACATTTCACTATGAGTCAGTACTAGTTAGAGCTGTTGTGTCACATATCCAATGCAATCTATCCTTAGCTCCACATTAAATTATCACCAAACACATCAGATTCAATCTGCAGTCTATCCATGCTCTTCAGGGATTTAGTCCTTACCTGAGAATACCATAGTTCAGTCCAGTTGTGTATACTGATTTCAGCCTATACTTCATTCTTGTGAGACCCATCTGCTTTCAGAAATCTTAAAGTTTGTTCAGCTAAGACACAAGACAGAACTAGAACTGTTCAGTCTGAACGTCAGTGCCAGAAAAGCTTGTTGAAAAAAGCACATTTTTACAGAGCTTGGCTGTTGATATTCTCTTGACACTGCGTCTCTTGGTGCCCATGGGAGAGATTTATTAACGCTGAAGGTGTCTCTGTGGTGGTGTCAGACTTTAGGGGGAGGCTCAGTAACAGCAGGATTATGAACAGCTTCAACTTAAAAAAAAAACATGAGAGGAAACTACTCTTTATCCTGTCTCTGCCCACTTGTGAATCAGGCTTGGTCAGTGTTGGAGATGTCCCACATCAGGAGCAGTTGTGTTCATTTGGCATTTCATTAGGTGGCCAGACTGAATTGCCAGTTCACCAGTAGATTGTTTTGAATGCAAAATTATTTCTGGAATTAGAAACATGTCATGTCCCTGGCAGGTCTTACACTGATGGCTTCAGCATACGCAGGACTGGGTGACAGATGGGCTGGCATTTCTCTCAGAGATTAAATCTTTTGCCACAGGCACAACTGTGTGTTTACCTGCTCTGCCAGGAGGAAGGTCCACCTGCCTTGCATCAGTGCTTGCTTTGGAGCCTGGGAAAAGGAGAAAGCAAGGGCAATTCTGAGCTTTCTATCAGAATTCCTCTGAGTTGCAAGACAGAGCCTGAGCTCCACTCCAAAGGACAGATCTCCATCTGAAATCTTCACGTAGTAAAATGAGTCTTTAACAAGTCCTCTTCATGATTAGGAGGACATAACATTGAGTCTTCACTCTGTGCAGTGCAAGGTCACACAGGACTCCTGGGCTTTATTATTCACTGGCTGGCCATGGGCAACCATTAAAGCTATGTTTGCCCCTCCTCCCTAAAACAGGGCACTGCCACCCTGGCTCCAGGCCATAGAAAGAGGACTTGAGTGGTACTATTTACTGAGCATCCCTGCTTCCTCATGCAGAAGTGCTGGTTAACTTGACAGCTCTTCTAGGAAGAGAGTATTTCTCAATTTAATTCCTCTCCCCTTCTCATTGCCTGGTAATGCTGAGAGGGAATATTTCCAAAATTTCCCTAAAAAAGCACAAAGTATCAGGTCTCCAAGTCTTCACTTCTTCATTTGTGTGCCTGATTTCCTCTCCAGTGCTAGCTCAGGTGTGAGGTTAGCAACTGGGGGGGGGGGGGGGGGAAGAGCTCTAAGAACACTGTGTAAGGAGAAAAGATAAAAGGGAAAAAGCATTCCTTAAGGAGTCTTTTTTTTAAATGGAGAATGTAGTCAAAACCTAACATAAACCCCATGGTCAAACCAAATCCTATAGGACATAACTAAGTCTCTTTAAATGTTCACTCTTCTAAAGCAGGACTTTTCAGTTTAGAATTGGTACCATGCAACCTTCATCTCATTTATCCTTCTGGGTCAGCCTCTGTGCCTTCCAGATGGGCTGCACATGCTCAGTCTTTCCCATAGCCCTTGCTCAGGAAATCGGAGCATTTTAGTGTGCCTGCTAGAGCAACGAGGCATCTATTTTCATGCATCAGCCTTGGGAGACTGCAGGTCCCACAGGTATCCATCATGCTGCTATCATGTTCAGTCAAAGACAGAATGAAGCTTGCTGAGACTGTATCTCCCAGGGCTAACACCTCCCCTCTGAAGAACAGACCTTCTGGGATAATCACTGCCCCATGGCACCACAACCAAGTCCTTTTATTGCCCCTATTGCTGGTTTTTGCCCGCCATATGCTCTGAGGCATTCCCCAACCCTGCAACTGCCCTCAGCCCTTTGCACTGTGTGATGTGCAGCTGCTTCCAGAACAACACTTTAGGGTCCCTGGGAAAGAGGGAGATGAACTTAAATGTTAACTACACCCAGTGCTTCCTCCAAATACAGACCAAAGCACAAGCCAAGTGTTTTCCACTGCACACAGAAGGAGTTGGTTGCACAAATAGCTGGTTTGGCATGACAGTACAGGACCATAAAATGGCAATTTTTTGGCTTCTCCTCTCTATGCTTTGTGTTCATATATTTTATTAGGGGAATAAAGTAGAAAGGGTGGGGAAAAGTAGTTACCTGTATAGGGTCATTATCAAGAAGGTTGAATGGATTAAGGCAATGCACATGTGGCTATTTATTGAACATGCACAGAATCACAGAATCAATTAGGTTGGAAAAGACCTCTGAGATCATCAAGTCCAACCCATGACTGAACACCACCATGTCAACTAGACCATGGCAGTAAGTGCCACGTCCAGTCTTTCCTTAAACACTTCCAGGGATAGTGACTCTACCATCTCCGTGGGCAGCCCATTCCAATATCTAATCACCCTTTCTGTGAAGAAATTCTTTCTAATGTCCAACCTAACCCTCCCCTGGTGCAGCTTAAGACTATGTCCTCTTGTCCTATTGCTTGTTGCCTGGGAGAAGAGGACGACCTCCACCTGGTTACAACCTCCTTTCAGGTAGTTGTAGAGAGTGATAAGGTCTCCCCTGAGCCTCCCTTTCTCCAGGCTAAACAACCCCAGCTCCCTCAGCTGCTCCTCATAGGACATGCACTCCAGACCCTTCACCAGCTTCATTGCCCTTCTCTGGACATGCTCCAGCATCTCAATGTCCTTGCTGAATTGAGGGACCCAGAACTGGACATAGTACTCGAGGTGTGGCCTCACCAGTGCCAAGTACAGGGGAAGAATCACTTCCCTAGTTCTGCTGGTCATGCTATTTCTGATACAAAATGGGCATGCATGTGTCCCTTTTCTGGGTTAGAGGTGGCACATCCATCTGTCTTAGCACTGATGCGAATGAGATCCCATCAACAGGATTCCCACCATGTTAAAGTCATGTTCGGTAAAAATTTAGAGTCAAATTCGGTAAGGAAGAGGCTACTGTAGACCATCACCTTCTTTAGGGTCTGGTATTGGTATATGTCTCCATCCGCTCAACGCCTTCTGGGTTGCAACCAGCACAGAGCCCCATGGTGGCAGCACACACTTGCCCCTGACCTGCAAAGCAACATAAGCCCAACCTGTGGGGGTCCCATCAGTCTCAACAGAACTACTCCCCAAGCTGCTGTCAGACTTTACCCAGCTTAACCAACTTGTGGGTCAAGGTTTGGTCATAGAAAATTGAATACTAATCGTTTTGAATCATAGTCCCTTAAGCAGGTCATGACCATAGGGCAAGTTTGTTGGCTTGTTATGGAATATGATTGACGGTCTGGCGGTATGTATTAACTGCAGATTGGGCTGACTCTCCCTACTGGTCTTGTGTTGAGATCTTTGTTTCAGCCAGTTTTTCCTTGTGCTCTCGTTGGAGGTTATGCTGTGGTGACTTCCCAGGTGTATAGATACATGGCCATTCTGGCACTTCTCTCCTTAAACCAGTCTCTGCTGCCATGGCCCAGAGAAGGCAAAAGCAAAGAGCATGGACCCTGGCTGTCACAACATTATAAAGCCATAAAATCTGCAGAGCTGCTGGGCACTCTCCTAACTGCAGTTTACTTGCAATGAAGCAAATCATTCCTTGTTCCAGTCTTTGCACCAAACCAGATGATCTTCTCAGGCCTCATTTTCAGTCCAAAGTGTACAGAATGCCAAGGGGAGAAGCACAACAGAGTATGAAAGGCTGTACCACTATCCACCTAAATTACCATGCAAATAGGATAGCTTCCTTATATTGGTGCCTCCACAAAAGGAATTTGTGTTTGATGCCTCTAAAGCCAGACTGGCTTTTTGTTAGGATTTCATGTAATTTTAGTCACCAAATTACCCAAGTTTAAGCAAATTTTTTCCTTTTATCAGATTTTAATTTTACCCTTTAATATGAGTTGACTTTGGACTCTATGGTCTCAGCACTCAAGTCTATGTCTGCAGTCAGTCTGCAAACTCTCTATTTCCAGATGTCAGTGTGAGGGGGAATATCCTCCTAGTGTTGAAAAAGGTCACTAGATAGAATGGTCTAGTCTGTTTTATAATAACCTTTGGCTGAAAGAAAGCTGATGTCCAGGTGACCATCCCTAAAGGCTCATTTAATGTCTTACCAAACATATCTTGAAGCCAATACTTGGAAGAGCCACTGGATCGTGTCTGACATTGCTGCATGTCTATCCCCAACATATATGCTTGGCCATTGGTCTTGCTGTTCTTTTCTGGCTGTCTTGCCTGCAAATGCCTTGCAACTGCAAAAGCAGACAGCCAAGCCTGCTGCATGGATTTCAAAAGGGACTTCAGGATGCTCTGCTCCTCCACAGACAGAATGGACTCAACTGCTTCTGGTTTGGTTCTCTGGCTTCTTTCTCAAAAGGAGGCACCTGCTCTGCTCATCTGTATGCTGGTTGACACATTGATCTGCAATCCTGAGCAGAATCCTTTCCTCTCCATGCAGAGTCTGTCCTTAGGTTGGCCTGTGAACTGTACAATGGCATGCAGGAGGCTTGAAAAGTACAGTGCCCTGTATGTGACTCAACATAAACATGAAGATGCTTTTGAAGAAAGGAAGGACTCAGCACCAGATGGAATGACAAGAAAAGAAAAACAAACAGTAACTAGAAAGGTTGCCAAGTGCTGTCTTGGCCTAGGGCAGATCCCAGTTGTCCAAGTTAATCTATGCTGATACCATCGGGGAGCAAAGCTCACTTTCAGATGTACACACCAGAAACACCATGTTCCTGATCTGGCACTGCAGCTAAATGCTACTGCTGAGAGTCTGTTGAACTGTTACAGCACAGAAATGAAATCTGGGGTCTCTTGCTGCTGTTGGCACATACTACATGTTTGCTCTAACCTCAGGCAAGTCATATTCCCTCTTGATATCCATTCCCTTCTGCAGCACAGGGCAGAAAGTTGCCTTCTCAAGATGCTACCACCACCCTGCATGGATGTTGCCAAGTGTGTGGCGGACACCGTTGTGATAGGATAGCTCTGCAAGCAAGATGCAAAAAGCATACTATTAGAAGTTTTGCATGTATTTTCAAAGTACTACAAAGAAAAACAGCACAACTCTGCTTTCCCTCTCTTTACCATCTTCTGATGTTGCTTACATGTGCCAGAAGGCTGCAGAGTGGAGATTAATAAAGAGATTAAACAACTTTGGGGGCAGATGTTTGGCAAGGATGTGTTTCCCACACATTTGGCAGCTGGCTCTTGCACAACTGACTTCTCAGTCTGCATGATGCCACAGAGAATATGTGAGAAGATTTGGTGGCACAACAGCACCATCCCCTGCTAATGAAGTTAAGGAACTTAGGAATGCAACAAGGACTTAAAATACAGATGCCAGCCCCTGTGAAAAACCTGCACCTGGTTAGTCTGGCATTAATCTTCTGTAGGTAATCCCAAGTCACAACCTTTTCCTCTATGCTGAGTTGCTGGCCCTTGCTTCAGGGTTTGTGTGGCTCTGTAACAGATGTGGGTTTGTCTGATGAGATGTGGTTCAAGATCTGGAACAATCCCTCACACAGGAAAGCCTTGAAAGGAAGTGACAAGGATGCCATGTTCTCCTAGAGGTGAAAAGCACCTTAAAATGAACACTTTCCCATGCCTTCCCCTTAGGCTCAACCTAGCCAAGCTTGCCCTGTGGCACTGCCCATCTATGCAGATGGTTCTTTTTGAGACATGAGAAGTAGAAATAGGAGGGTCATGTGAAGAGTCAACTCTGAAGGGTGGTAGAGGTCAAAACCAGGGTATATTTACATTGGCATATGCAGCCTGTGCTTGCTGAGCCAAGCAGTAGCCAGGTGACAAAGCCTGCTTCATCCTAGGTAAGAGTGGCCATACCCTATATGAGCTTTAAGGGAGAATGGTAAAGTAAAAGAAAAGCCCAGGAAAAAGTGCCAGTTTATACCCTCAAATCATTACATGGATGCTAAAAGTAAGAGCATGAAACTGCTGTGGGAATATCCCAAAGGAGCCCTTCAATGCTCTCTTCCCTCCCATCAGCACTCACTATCCCAGTTGCACTCCATCTGAGTGTTGCAGAGCAACATGGGCACCAGCAGGACAAGTTACATTTTTCCCTGGTGCCTGCAGAGATCAGCTCTTCCCATTGCTTCCCAGACCCAGTTGCCAGCAGAAACTGGGGGTGACTCCAAGCCTTTCTCTTTCTGTAAAAAGCCGCTCCAGCAAAAGATGGATTCGCTCCTGGAAGGAACCTATCTCATTGGTTGTGCCTGGACTATGAAGTCATTCCAAGTAAAAAATGGTGATACAGGTGGTAGGATTGCATTAAGGAGTGGAAGGTGCAAAAGAAGTCTCATTAAAATGTGACTGTCTCAGATGCGTTGCTGGAAACCAGCACAGTAGGCACCAGGAAAAGGTCACCAAAAGGCCATGCTGAGAAAAGTGCTATTATCTGCCTAGATGTTTGTCCTCCCAGAGCAACATTTCTCCCATAGTTGCCCATCCAACTGCCCCAGATGAGCTCACTGGGAAGAACTGCTCTCTACCTGGGCTGTGTTCTCCCTTCTGCACTGGTCCCAAAAGAGCTTCAACTCCACCTTTCCCAGCCCACATAATTTGGGAGATGTGAAGCTTTTTGGGAGATGTAATACAGACCCACGAAGAGAGTTGGGAAACTTGGACAAGCTATCTTCACAACAGCCCTTCTGGTTAGTGGGTGAGACAGAGAGTAGACTGGGATTTCTCTTCATCCACCTGAAGGCAGTGGGGCTGAGGGTTAGCCAGGCTAGTGTAAAACCTTGGTGTGATCCAGCAAGCTGAGCCATCTGCCTTTATCCTCCCAGGCTCAGCGCTGTGGGAGATCTGGGAGCCAAGCACAGGTCCCAGGCCTGTCAGCCTGTGTGCAAATAGACTGGAAACCCACAGCAGAGGCACAGTTGAGAAGTCAGTCAGCTGTGTCCTTGCCATGCTGGGGTAGAGTGCTGTGAGATGCACTAGTAGGGCTGTAGTTGTGTGGGGATAAAGATGAAAGATGAAGTTTTTGCAGGGGAGAAAATTCAGAAAAAAAAATTTCTCCCTGTTTTTGCCCATTTTTAACCATTTTTACTCCTTTTATAGGGATTATTGAACCTTCAGTTTAATAAAGAAGGAAACAAGCCAACATTAAATACCTTTCTGAAGGGTTCTGAAAGCAGGCACCACTTGCATGAAGTTGGTCTGTGCCTAAGATGCAACTTCCAGACCTCAGTGTACATCCTGTAGTAAAGTCACCATGTGTGTTGTGGAAACTGGGATGTGAGAATCAGTGCTGACCATCATGTCAAACAGCCACAGCTTTCCAAACTGAAGAAGAATCAGACCAGGAAGGGGGGAAAAGAAGTAGTGACAATAGAAGTGATGTCTACGGATTTTTGGATTTTTAGCTTTTTGTAGATTTTAGAAGTAGCTGTATTATATCCCTCACCCTTTAGCACAGTAGTTTACACATTTTCCCAACACTGTTACCCATTCCATATCACTCCCTCAAAATTCCGTTAACTTGTTTAGACTTCCCTCAAGGTAGGCCTTCATTCTGTTTAAGAACATCTGCACCCTGGTCTGGACAACAAGATATCACGCAGGCATAGCGACCTTCAAGCCCAGAACTTTGGAGAAGCTCCAAGGACTGGATGTGCTGTGACAAGGAGGAGGATGAAGAAGAGGGGGTTCCAGAGCCCCCTGCCTCAATTTCCAGAGGGGCATGCTGGGGGGAGGTGCTGAGGGGTGGATAGATATGGGATTGGATGGGTTATCATCCTAAATTGTGAAACAAGAGGCACGTCGTGTATTCCTGTAGGCCTCAGGCCTGGAATTAAAGGACCTACCCTCTTTATCTTATACACTAAGTTGTCTCGGAGTCCTGTTTTCTGCGGTCTCTTAAGGCAACAGAAGGATAGCTAATTGTCACAGGTAAACTTTGGTATCCACGTCCAGTGGCTAGTTCTGGAATCACAAGCCTTGTTATATTGCATACATCCTCCTACCACTCCTCTTTTCTCAAAGCAGCTATCATCTTCCCCCTCCCTCATGCACTAGCATCATAGCATCAGAGGTAGTTGTACCAAAAGGGACTCTTAGCCCAGTTCTGCATTCCCCTCTCCCATCCAAACCCAAGGCAGCCTGGACAGTTGTTGGCCATCACAAGTCTAAATTTTTAGTAACTCTGCTTGGGTTTCTTTCCTTATGTACCATGGCTTCCCCCCACGCACTCTATCAAGGAAGTACAGGAGGCTCCAATCATGTCCCAAGTAACTTCTTTGCCCCCTGGCAGCACCTTATAGACATTAACCTTACTGAGAATGTACTGGGTCAATGCTGGTGAGATCTGGTGTTGCCGGTCTTGGGTAGGTGACAGCTGATGGGGATCCATTGGGAGAAGCTGGAAGGAAGAAGCTACTGTCTTCTTTTCTTTTTTGAGGGAGAGGGGGATTTTTTGATATTATGATTATTGTCCACCTTCCAGTGGACAAGTTCTGGGCTGCATTAATAACCAGGGTTAATTGGATGTCCAGACAGGTATGGAGTTTCACACCAACCTTAATAGCAAACACCATATCTATATCCAGAGCCTGGATTCAGGCTGAGTTTCTCCCATGCTGGCAAAGTACTTTCAGTAGGCTCCAGATAGCCATTTCTGGAAGACAGGGAAATAGCACTCCTCAGAGTTCAGATCAAATCTGCACTTGCATTTCATGTCCTCAGCTTGGAAAAAACTCAACCCAAATGCTTCCCAGGTCTCCTTTCCCCATCTGGTGCCCCAGGGGAGGGGATGGTAGAAGGCATTTGGTGGTCATCAAAAGCAAGATCCTTTTTGGATGTATTTAATGGAAATATCTTTCAGGAGGAGAGGAGACCTCACAACCTTTGCATCAATCTCAGAGCAGGAGACTGATTTCCAGCTGTCCTTTTGCATATAGTGAAACATAGCTGAATCAGCCAAATGCAAAGTACAGTTAAATGTAGGCTTTGACCTGAATAACCTTTTAATTAGGAAGATAAATTTGTTGTAGCTTGACCTTAATTCATGTTAGGAACCTGTTAATCATTTGACATGCAGAGTGTATTAATGCTGTACTTAACTTGGCCATTGGTTTTATTATCTAGGTTTGGGAGTTTTTTCTCTATTGAAACATCAATCTGCATCTTATATGGAGCAGGGGGGCATTTCTTTCTTTTTTCCTGTTCAGAACATGTAACACACTGTTGTACTTCTGTTCCCATCCACGTAGAGTATTGCCTTAAACAGATCAATTGTGTTGTGGTTTGTTTTGGGTTTTCTTTTTTCTATCATCAGTTTTATGCATTAGTTTATTTTAAACAGTGAGGGTTTTCAAAAACATGAAACATGTATAATTTTTTAACACTTCCATTGCAGTATTTATCATTGTTACTGGTTGTGTGTAGTATAACAGAATTAATATTAAAAAGCATACATATGAAAACCAGCCTGCCAGACTGTCATTGGAGCAAACTGTGGTGAGAGGGTATGAACCACGCTATCTCCTCTGAGCCCCCAGCAATTGCAGAAACTGAAATCAGGGGGTACTAGCCTTCATGCCATGGCTAATACCAGTTGTTTGGGTCTAGTAAAAGCAGCTGGTGTGGAGCTGTGCTGTATGGCACAGATAAACCTCCCGGGGGCAGCCAGCCTCCAGCCAACATTTGGAAAGTCTTCTCCTCAAGGCAGAAGGACCCAACTCCTGCATCTGGGCTATGCCTCTCCTCCTGACAGTGACAGAAACAGAAGGAGGTGCTGCATCTATATACAACATCAATGGGTGAAATAACCTTTTCTCCAGCCTTGCAGCCATTTCTGCTCCTTAAAGCTGTTGACACAAGAGCCGAGTGCTGATTTTAGAGTCCAACATCAGCAGCTGGAAAATCCAGGGACTGCTGGGGACAGGGGATAGCCATAGGGGGCCACTGGATCATGGAATCATAGACTCATCAAGGTTGGAAGAGACTTTTAAGGCCATGGGGGTGGGGAGGGGGAGGCATCACTGACACCCCTGTGTCCACCCTTCCGACTCAGCCTCCCACTGGCTCCCAGGAGAGGACAAGACTGATGGAGAACCTGAGCCTGGCTCAACGGAGACCAGCAAGGTGTGAAAAATCAAAAGCAACTTGTTTTCTTCATTTCAATGTCACATTAATCATGTTTGCCTGGATGCATTCGGGCGCTCCAGGTTGCCCAGCTCCACCATTCCTTGCAACAAAAGAGCAGGGCTAGGCAACCCTTCAGGGGGATGGGTTGGTATCTACCCTGCCAAGATAGACTTGGGTCTTCACCAGTCATCCCCAAAATTGTGACAGCAGAAGGGTTGGACTTCTGAGACCCCTCACAAGGTTGGAGTTGGGAGCAGAGCAGGGCTCTGAGTTGGTACTGTGTGACAAGACAAGCCAGAACAGGATTTCTGCTCGGTTCCCCATCTCAGAGAAAAGCAAACCTGGTTCATGCAAATCCCTCCCTGGCATAACCCAGTTGCCTCTGTACTGAGATAGATGAGGATTGCTCACTCCAACTGCAGAGCCCATCACAGTACTCGGGACAGGAGAGCAAACGAGCCACACAGGGTCACCTAAATCCAGCTTTTTAATGAAAAAGGGTAGATAGAACAGGCAGTAATTCCCCTGGTTACCCCAGCAGGCCAGGCCTGCAGTGCTTGATGCTGTGCCCTGGGCACTGGTTGCACAAGTGCAGGGCTGTGCTATGTGCACACATCTGGGTTGCTGCAGGATTTCCAAGAAAATATAGGACAGAGGGGCTGGAAAAACAATTGATTGTTTTGCACCTCCCAAAATAAAATTATCTTGAAACTGTTTCCTACCATTGTTAAGATAATTGCCTGCAGGAGGGGAGAAAGCCCAGAGCCAGGACAAAGTCAGGAGGGTGCAGTTGTGCTCATGGAGTGATCAGGCAGAAATTGTTGCACCCTAACCCAGGGCCTGCTATTCTTAGGAATCCAGCCACAGGACTGACAGCCACCAAATCTCCCTGGTCTCACACTATGACATCACCAATGGCATAAGCACCACCCCAGCCTGGCAGAGCAGTGGTACCAGGGCCCCATTCCCTTTCCTAAGTGGGCTGGGAGCCTTTAGCTCCATGCAGTGCTGTTGATCCAGTGGGGCACCCCAGGATCCTCCAGGACTCTAAGCACCCCCATCCCCGTGGGCTGCTGCACCACATTCCTCTTTGCCCCAAAACACAAGACCTCTGTCAGCACTTATGCTGACTCCTACTGCCTGCCATGGTCTGTCAAAAAGACCATCAGAGAGCAGGTTCCACTGCAGCTCTGGAAAGAAAACAAGTTTGTGATGCAGGTAAATGCTATGGGAGGAGGAAACCTTGGAGTTTCTACTCCAACCTGGTTGTGGATGCTTGGTGCTGGGCAGGTGACATGGGGAAGAGGGGGGAGGAGAGGTCATTCTCCCTGGTTAGTAAAGCATTTGACACCCCACAGCCTGTGCTCACTGGCTTCTTGTCCCCTGGAGCTGCACCCTGCAGTGGCTTAGGGCTTGTGGGGCAGGCAGTCGCTAGTACAAATTCTCATGTGTCAACCCTGTCCATCAGTAGGTTTCAGAGTGCTCAGGGGGCAGGATCTTGCTAACAAAGGGGAAACTGAACCAGTGGCAGAGCTCAGCTCGGGCCTGATGCATGACATGGTGGTGGATGGGGGAGCAGATTGTGTGGCTCTGAGAGCTCCAACACACAGTTCACAGGCTTCGCTCAGCTCTGACTTGGTGAGGGAAGGGGGGAGTGCTCCGTGCCAGGGGGATCCTGCAGGGGCTGGGGGGAGATCTGAGCACTGCAACACCTCTCCCTGCCCTGGTCCTGAAGGAATTCCTGAGCCATGGCCTCACTGTGGGGGGATGTCTGTGGTATATTACATGTATACCGTGGACATGCAGCAGTTCCCACATGGGCTAGCAAGTATGCAGGTTCTGATGCAAAGCATACTGCAAACCAGCTCGTCTCTTGCAGCCTCGTTAGCCTGTGCATTATAATGAGGGAGCCAGTAGAGAGCATGGAGAGGGATGTCACTGCTGTGCAGAGACAGAAATGGCTCGTGCAACCAGGGAACCTGTCTGCCCTGAAAGACCCTAGCCCTCTTGGGCTGTGTCAGCTGTAGGAGATTGGCTTCATCTTGTAACTCCCTTCTCAACCTCTGCTGGCCCCATACCTGGCAGCCCCAGTGCACCCAGCCCATCTCCCCCTCTGCAAAGAGCCCAGGTGAATATGGACACGCTGGGTGCAGGAGGAAAGGAGCCATCCTCCATCTCCCAGTTTTGGGTGAGTGTGAAGCTTTGAGGTGGGGGGAATCACGGTGCCAGTACAACCCCCATGACCACCCACTTCAGAGAAGAGGGGCTTGGCACTTGTGGCAGGTCTCTGGCATTAAACCCTGCTCAGTAACCTGTTTCATCATGTGCCCCAACTCCCATGAAGACAGGCACTGCTGCATGGCCCCAGGCATCTCTCCCTACTCTGCTGTCTCTAGGGATTAACAATGACCCTGGTTCGAAATTTGGTGAGCCAAAGTCAGCCTGAACAGCTGATTAAGGTGGAGATGCAGGAGTACTACAGGAATGTCATCAACCCTGTTAGCTGGCCAGGTCTGAAGGTATCGCTGAGGTCCTAACCATCCCCCTCCCAGTATCACACAGGCCACGTAACCATGGGCTATGAGATTTGGGGGTTCAGGGTAGTGGAAGCATCTCTGTTCATACCCCCTTTTGCATTTTGTTCCGCCCTCCCAGTGCTAAAGAGACCCTCCCTCAGCATCTGCACTTGTGACTTTGCTGCAGTCACCCATCCCTATCCCCACACTGAAACTGTCCTGTTCCCAGGGATGTCTGCAAGTCCCCAGGTCTCACTCACCCAGTAGCCCCTAAATACCCCCTGGTGGTAGGTGCTGCCTGGGGGACACTCTCCTGGTACACCATATCCTCCAGTGACCAAGGTCACATCGGCAGGGATAAGTGACCAATGGTCTGGAAGCAGTGAGTATCACCTCCATCACAGATCCTCAACAAGGAGTCTGAGAGCACCATGTCTGACATGCCCTCTGGCCCCATGGCATTGCATTTTGGGGAGAGGGGAACAGCTCTGACCATCTCCCCACGTCCCTGACACTACAGGGTACCCCCGCCTGTCATTTTGGCATTGCAAAGAAATAAAACACAGCTTTTTGTCAATGAGGACAAATACATCACATGGTGAATGGGTTCCTACAACAGCACAGCCTGGAATAAGCACTCCTCCGACCTCCCCCTCCTGCCCAAGGTAGGTCCAGTCCCTTCTGCCCCCTCAAACCAGAGCCACCAGCACCTCAGGCTCTGCAGCAAAAGGGTGGCAATCCTGTAAACATTTGCTATCACTCCTTGCAGGAGATGAGAATGAAGACCTTCTTGCGCAGCATACCTGTGCCATGCCATCTAAAACCCACCTGCCTCAATGAATCTGGTAACTACCCTCACTCTGCCCCTGTGCTTCAGCTGTAGCTGTGCCTCTGCTGTGCCAGTGGCTGTCCAGGTGACAGACTGGTTGCTCCTCCTCATCCTTACACTTGTCATCCCTCTGCTTGCAGAGGGAAGTGGCCACTGACATGCTGCGCAAGCTGTTCTCACCACTGTCCCTGTAGCCTGTTGTCTCAGTTTAATGAGACTGAAGTGTTTTGCTAAGGAGGATGAGTTATGAGGAAGACCAAGCTCCTCCCTCTAAGCAATTGTAAATCAGAAATTAAGAGGCTCCAATTGAGGAAGTGTGGAGAAAGAAAAAAACCCCAGCCCTTTATTAAAGGATATATGTGTATTGGCAGCACAACAAAAGAACACAAAAACAACTAAACAATAATCCTGTACCCAAAGTCCCCTCCAAGAAAAAAACAGTTCAGTACTTTCCACCTTTTGGTGCAATTCTAACCATCATAGGGAGGGGGCACTGTTGGATCACTGGAGGAGCAAAGCCTGCAGTTGCTCTGTGGTAGTCAGCAGGGGGTGCTGTTGGGCTCTGGCGGTCACCACATGGGGGCCCCGATGCACAGGAGAAGCCAAAAAATGGAGATCTCCCCCTCACCAAGAAGAGGAAGGGGAAAAAGGGGTTCTTCCCACAGACTCACACTGTCAGCAGCTGGCTCTGGCCAGGACTCCCCCAAAGGTTCCTTCGCAGAAGGGTCAAGCCTCTCCGATGAAATCTGAACAAGTCCCAGCTGGGGGCAGGACAGGGCGCAGGAAAACAGAGGCAAACTGGGACCAGAAGCAACCAGATGACCCCGATGAAAAACAAAACAAACCTCGGAATCCCTCCACACACACACCCTCCCTGATTCAGGGCAAAAGTGGAGAGTGCCTACCATTTTCCGAGGAGAAGGAAAAGACTTAACACCTCCCCCCCCAGTCTTCTGACAGCAAATCAGTCTGGAATGTGGGTCTGTTAGCCAGTTCTTTTGTGTATGTCAATCACCCTAGGTAAAAAACCCACCCTCCCCCTCCCTCGTTCAACATCTTTCTTTTACAGTGATGCAGGGGAAAGAAAAAAAATTCCCAGCTCGGTTTTTTCAGAACAAGTAAACCTATGACACCTGTGTACATCATGATGGGGAGGGGATCCTTCCAAGGGCTACTACGTCACTACTGCCTATGAGGGATGGACTATTACATTGATGGGGCCCCTGCCATCAGAAGGCGTCTCCACACGCTGGCAGAGAGGGTTGTGAGGTTGGGATGGCTTGCATTGCTTGGGGTGGCTTGCCATGTAATGGGTTAGGTTGGGATGGACATGACCTGTGCTCATCCTAGGGGCCACCGCTCACCCTCCACTGTCTTGCAGGAGTATCCTCTGCTGCGGTTACAGCCTCAGAGCAGGAGTATCCTCTGCTGCGGTTACAGCCTCAGAGCAATGGTCTTTGTATCTACACATCACCCCAAGCCATCCTCCCTGCATACAAGCCCTAGACGCAAACAGGTTCGGTGTGGGGAGACCTCCAGGCAGGGTGCCCTGGGGGGAAAAGCCTATTATTTTTTCCTAACAGCAGCCAGCCACTAGGTCTTTTTTCATTAGGTTTAAATACAGAATTACTCAGAGGGGTATTCTGGAGGTGATGGTATGGACTGCAGACCCCAAGGGGTAACAGGTCCCATCACTCAGGCAGCGATGCAGCCACTGCACCTGCATCTCACAGACTAAGTGGACATGACTGGGGAAGACAGAATGACATTATGATGCTGGGCTCTGGCATGTGTTGTTGCCACCTGTGGAGAAGCAGGTGTTTCTATGCTTGGTCTTACCCTACAGTCCTTGGGACTGTATGGAACCTGAAATCTTGCTGGCACTCCTAAGCACAACTGCATGTAGCTTAGCATCTTTCAGATTTTGGAGCCACATCAATGTTTCCTGTGCTGCTCTTGTATTTTCTATCATCACTCGCTATACTTATCCAAGAACCTGTTTCCTGGTCATGCTGTTCTTCCTGCCATAATCAGCCCTGTCCTTCACCTGCTGCAGGTCCAGAAGCACTTTTTAATCCCCATGTGTAGGAGTCAGGTTTTAGGAAGAATGTTGGATGAGGTATCCTGGGAATTAAAGTCCAGAAGTACTCCTATGCACATGGGTAGTGAGATACCCCTGGTGATTGGTCAAGGGAGTCATGTGTCACTATTCAAACCTATATATAAGCTGTTGTCTCATTTGAATAAAGAGGATTTGGTTGCTGAACCCCCAAGCTAGCCGGGTCTGTATGGTTTATTTACTTATTATATTAATAAAGCAATATCTGTCACCCAACGTGGGGCCACTCCCTGTATCAGGGATGATTAGAGACTGCCTTGTAACAAGGAAAAATTCCGGTAGTGTTCAAACGAGCTTGTTTTAAAGCTCAGGAACGCTTCTCTGAAAAAAAGCCAGATGTCACATACCGAGCTAAAAGCAGGCAGAAGACATCATTAAAGAAAGGCCGTAGAATACTAATACAAAAGTCGACTGGGATGTCGTGCAGAGAACCGTGTGGGAGCTCCGAAAATTTGAGTATTGTGCACACGAGAGACCTGGCAGAGTAAGGTATAAAAGAAAGAAAAGGTAAAGCTACAGAGAACTTGAGGTAAGAAGCCGGCATGGGAAGTTAAAATTCAAGGGAAATTATAGAAATAACTATATTAGGACTTCTGCTAAGCAGAATCCTTAGTGTGACTGCTTGGAAAAAATTTGGAGAGACAGCTCAAGAGAAAGCAGAGATAGAAGATGTGGACACCTTAAAAATCTCACAAAGAAACTTAAACTTGTCCATGGAGAAAAACTTTAAACCTCCTGTTCCTCCCACGAGCCCTAATAGGCAAAGGACTCCGCCAGACCGCGGGAGCAGACACGGGGGTGGGAGAGAACCTCGTGCAGACCGAGAACCGCGTGCAAACCGAAAAGAGACCCTAACAATGGACTTAGGCTGGGTTTTATGCGGGCAGGAGCGAGCATGTGGAGCAGACCACGTGGTTGTTGGGGAAAGACAGACCTTGGGTCCACGAGGCACTGCTGAGTTGCAGCCACATGGCGGGCACACCCTGATTTGGGAGTTGCCATCTTTCCCACGGCCAGCTTGCCGAGTGTCCCAGCTTGAGGAACTGTGCTTAGAGCATGTAAATCCAGTAAGCAGAGAACCAACAGAGGACACCGGGGGAGGGTCAGTTTTGCCTCCTCCGAAAAAAGACAGGCAGTCGTGCAGTGTAGGGACAGAGGGTTGCCTTCGTGCTGCTGTTAAAAGAGTCCGTTGGACTCGCAGTGCTCTGTAGAGGCACTGTCCGCAGCACTTGTCGGCGGCAGCGGCGCGGGAAGCGTGGCCACGGAGCTTGCAAAGGTTCACGGCGCGGGCTCGCGGCAGCAGCGACGCCGAAACGGCGCGCGGCGGCACGAGGCGCGTGCATGCCGGTGGCAGCAGCCGCGGCGCGGAGGCACGGGACCCATGGGCGAACACTCCCCGCTCAGCCCTGGCCCGGCGCGACAGCCCTGGGGCTGCGGCAAAAAACAGCAGCTCCGGCTGCGTAGGAGTGGGGGGGGGGGGGGGGGGGCGCTCCGAAATACAGACGGCGCGCCGTGCCTGGACTGGACGCGGTGCGAGCCCGGGCGCGGCTTTAGGGCAGCCTGGGGTCGGGCGGCAGCTGCGCGGGGCGCACCGAGCTGGGATGGCAAAAACTACCTCCCCTTTTGCGGTGGGGTGCTGAAACTACGCCAAGTCGAAGCAGCGTGAGCTGCGAGCAAATGGCAGAGCCCTGCACGGATTCTGCTGCGGACAGAGAGGGAGACAGGCAGCCCCCACCTAGCGCCATGCCGAGACTCCCTGCAGGGGCAATCCTGCCGTCTGTAGTGAAAAAAATGCAGCCAAGCCGGGGCCGGGAAAAACGGCTCCCGCCCCTTGTGCTGAGACAGAGGGAGGCTGTGCTGCAGCCTAGCTGAGCTGCCTCTTGCACAGCTCAATGCTACAGCGTTATGCTGTGTGCCTCCAGAGACATACAGAACTAAGTTAACTTTGTATCTTGTTGTCTCAAGACCTTTGGTAAGAACACTGAAGCTTTAAGGTTTTTTCCTACTTTTTCACTAGTTCCCCAGTGACTTTGTTAAAATTGTTAAGGTTGTTAAATTGTTAAAGTTGTTAAGTCCTTAAGTACACCTAAATAGATACAGTTGTTGTGACAATGTAGTTCAATTAACGTTTAAAAAGTTCTTAGCATCTCCATACCTTGTTAATTAATGCATTCAGATACTACTATCCCAAAAAGGTGTGCCTAGTGTCAGCAAAAATAGCTGCTTGTGAGTCATAACTGCTTAAGAGACTGAGTTAAAACTGATTATGATGACTAACCAATATCATTTAAGAAATAGGATTGCAAAATACTCCAGAGGAGATTCATCAACCCAATAATAGAAAAGATCTGCGAAAGAGAAGATTGCACAGCATTCAACCTTGAGGTAAAAGACATTAAAAGACATTAAAATGACTTCTTGCTTTTTACTTCAAGCTCTTAGCTACCAAAAGCCATTCCTGGACAAAACTGCAGAGAAACTGTATGTTTGCCTGACCTTCACATCTGTTTCTACCACAGTGTCCACCTAAGACTGTCTAAATTGTTATTAACATGTTTGTTAAGTTTATTATTAAGAGCAAAAAGTAGCTATCAGAAATAGATGGACAAAAGCTGAAAAATTAACTGCATCCCAGACACGAGGCAACTTGAACTAATAAGCTGAAAAAGACAACTTGGTCTAGTTGCTTACAAAGGATGCTGAGTTTCAAGCCGCGTTGGCATATTGTAATAGTAACTTGTGTACGTATCTTTGAATTTATTAACTTTTGGTTTTCTAAAACAGAAAGGGGGAAAAAGGAATATGCATGCACACAAACAGGTAAGACATCATTTAGGTTTGTTAGACCTCATATTCCTCATATTAATTCCTTTTCAAATTTTCAAAACAGGTACAGTTGCCAGACATGACTACCAGAAGTGACAGATTGAGAAACATAACTAATAACCACTACAAAAACCCAAACTACATGATTTAAATAGAGACATAATAAAAGGTTTAAATATGTGTGTGTGAAAAGAGAATGAAAAGGTAGCTACCTTGGTGTGAATGAGAGAAGCTGTGTGGACATGTATGTGTGTAGACTTGGAGATACTTTGTGCTTCATGTGCTTTGAGCAAATTACACTTGCATAACACAACACTTGTTCTCTAAGGGCCCTTTCCTTGAAATGGAGTTGAATTTCTCCTGGTTACCAATTACATGCAGGCCCTTAGAAAAGTAAAACTCGATGTTCTACCCAATTGTACTGAAGCCCTCGGATCAGTGGAGTTGTTGCTTAACCCAAATACACATAAAACCTTAGATAAAAAGTTCTAAGCGAATTTGCTTAATACAAGTTCTAAAGGTTGCACTGTTTATGGAGTTATAAAAGTTGCACTGATAGTAAAGTTATATGAACAGTTTCAATAAAGGCCTTATCACGTGTATTAGAGAGGGGTTCGAGACATACTGAAGCTTGAAAACCAAGACACCGTTAAAAGCTTAACAAAAACCAATATTTATTACCAAGAGGTGGCCAACAAAACGAACAAACCCAAAAGGGAGGAAGGAGGAGAGAAATAAGCCCCCAGCACGACCTCCCCAGTTACCCAGCTGTTGCCCATAAAGTTATCTTACCAACCTAGCATGCCTATAATTACCCATAGCAGAAGCTGTATCCTTGGAGAGTCAGTAAGTTCACAAACTGGCAGGCATCCCCGCCAAAAGGCAACATTGTCCTTGGTGTGAAGTTAGCTCCCATAGCAGAAAGCACTATCTACTTTTATACAATTAACTGAGTGACCACAACCTCCCAGGTGTGGCCAGCACCGCCCAGCCCAAGGCCCTCAGTCCCACCTCCCAGTTATGTAAGTGCATCTCTTCTGCACGTGTGTGAGAAATTCAGAAGTCCCCTAACGCACGCGCAGTATGTTTTGGGGGTCTTTCTTAACTGAGTCTGGGGGCGAGCCTTCCTCCCCTCCTCATCAAAATTCTCCTTCAAATGCCCTTGGCAGACAATTAGCCAATCACAGAATGCCAATTAAAACAGTTTATGCAAGAAACTCTCTTCAAGGACAACTTTCCTGTTTATCAGTGCTTGTTTTCCCATAATTTGGCAGGGAAAGAGCAAAGCTTTCACAGGTGGCAGGGCCAAACACAGACCA